CAACCTGGTTCTGGATCCGGTTTCACGGAATGGAATCTGGTGCTCGCATTCCATGACGTCACGTCGTACGTGCAGGCTGAGCTGGAGGTTAGACAGGTCTTAGATGCTGAGGTGAGAGAGCTTTGTTGTGCAGTCACAAATGAAAATGTATAAATGTTATTGCATCCGTTAGGATTTGAATGGTGTACCTTCCAGCTTTGCGGAACGAAATTCAAAACGAACTGTGTGGCCTTTGATCCCATTTTCTTTTGGGCCGTGCTCTCATCGGCTCACCGTCCCTGGACCTGGATCTGGATCTCGATGCTTCATGGATGGTACGACGGCGGGTTCGCCACCACCCGCCGTACAGCACCGCATCCTTGAAGAAGTCTTTCCGAGACACGTGCTGGAGGTGATGACGTCAGACAAGCGCCGTACATCGGCTTTTGGCGGCGGCGGCGGCGGATGTCCCTCCCTGGTGCGCACTTCCTCCTTGTCATCGACTTACACTGTCAGCGGCGGTGCCGCCGCCACCGCCGGCAGGCAGCTGTCGTGTGGCGGACGTGGCGTGGGCCAGCCGGCACCTGCGCTAGCCGGCGGCGACGACGCAGCCGCTGCCGCGCCGATGGCGACGGTCTTTGGGCGCAGCTCGGCGCCAATCCTGTGCTCGCCAAGGAGCCCTGCCCGGGCGGCGGCGGCAGCGGCGGCGGCGGCGGTGGCGGCGATACCTGACGGCCCTAGCGGTGGCGGCAGCGACGTTAGCGACGTCGGGGCTGTCGTGCCTCATAGCCTGGCACACGATTTGTTCTCGCCGCCGTCGTCAACCACTGACGGCAATGCCGCCGCCACCGACCCCGCCATCGCAACACGCCGTATTCAGCCGTACCTCGCCGCAATGTCTGGCCGCAGCGCCACCGCCGCCTCGGCCACCGCTGCTGCCGCCGCAGCCACCAACGGCTGCAGTGGAGAGCGCCGCAGCATCAGCACGAATTTAGGCGCGTCTTGTAGCCTGGCGTCGTATAACCACTGCACAGCCCATGGCGTGTACGACAGTTGCGACGATCGTACAAGCTTCGGCTGCTTCAGTCATCAACTTCATGCGAGCAGTGATA